GGGATGATGAGAGTGGCCATGGACAAGTTGAGGACCTCCGTTAGGTACGCTACCCCCGCAGGACCCAAATTTTTCAGCATCAGCATGCATATTCCGTCGGGACCCATGGCTTTGGAGGCTTTCGCCTTCCCGATGGCTACCTGAACTTCATCGCAAGTGAAAGTAAGGGGGGCACAAGTTGTTGGCAGTTTGTGCAGCCTTCTGGTCACTTGACGCTTGGCTTTGTCCACCGGAGGATGCAGTATTAACTGCCGGCTAAAATAGCTCGCGCATCGCTCCGGGTCCGACGAAGCATGATCGCCGAAAGAAATTTCGACTCTGTCGTCGTGCTTCGTCGGATTGGACAGTGACCTCACGGTTGACCAAAGCTTACTCACACCAGAGGCGAAGTTACAAGTCTTCAGATGCTCCTCCCACTTCTTCCGCTTATGTACGTTTACAAGTTGCCGAATCTCCGCGTTGAGATCCCTGATACGGGGATCTCCGGGATCGGCCTGACGTAGGCTATCACGCTCATCGGCTAGAACAGCCGCTTCGGCAGGGAAGTTTGGACGTAGGTCCGTAATACATCCTGCCGGTATGAAGCGAGCTGCAGCAGCAGTGACAGCCCTGCGGAACTTGCGTTCACCGAGATGGACGTCGGTTGGTGTGGGAAGCGCAGTGAAGGTGTTTTCAGTAAACTCCACGTAACCTTTCCAATCAGTTTTATAGAAGTTGATACAGGTCCGGTGTTTAGCGGAGGCAAAGTCGGTTGGTTTATCTGTCGAGATGACTATGGGTAGATGGTCTGATGCTAAAGTCAGCATAGGTCGCCATGTTATGCTGTTTATCAGACCAGCGCTGACTATGGTGATGTCTGGCGAGCTGCTGCAGTTACCCATAATCCTGGTGGGTGCGTCGTCGTTCATTGTGCAGAATGTCGAATCGTCTATCTGCTCAGCCAATTCTGTTCCCCTACGATCGTTTGACAGGCTTGAATGCCAAATATCGTGATGGGCATACGGTTTTCACCTCTGAGGAGCGCACCTATATCAGGGTGATATCCTGCCGGGCAGCAGGTGACAGGGGGTATGTATATGTTAAATATTTCGAGCTCGACATCGCCTGACCGGATAGCAATGCCCTGACATTCTAGGGTGGTATCCCTGCGGTCGATGTCTACTTCGATAAGACGATGTGGTGCGTGATGAACGCTAAGCCACCACCATTATCTCGCTCGCGATCTCGACGGTGCATGTTGTACCCGGCACAATTCAAAAATGTTGAATTGCTGTGCAGCATCGTCTCTTGGACCGCAGCTATCAATATACCATGCCGACACATAAAGACGGTTATCTCCTCAATCTTGCTCTGTAGCCCGTTACAGTTAAATTGAAGGAGCTTCATGTGGTTCAGGAGACGTGTTGTGATGTGGGGTGTAAGGGATGTGTGTGTTCTTACTGCCGTTGGCTGTGTGCGCTGCTGTCATGGTTGCCGCCCTGTGGTGGTGGCGGAAGGCGTCGCAGTTGCGGTCTGCGACCGAGCAGCGCAACACGGGGCCTCGAAGTTCCTCGTCCAGTCTCGCGTGTGACGCAGACCTGAGCATGCCCTAAAAAGGCACCAGCCAAGGCAGGTGTTGCACTTGACTGATGTCACATTACGGAATATCCTGGTCTGACATACCGTGCAGATTGTAGGAGGAACCAGGAGTTGTTGGCGGCGGCGTGTGGGTGGTGGTGCGGCTGTGTGTGTTCTATGGTCTGTCGTGGCTGTGGTATGGTCTGTGGAGTTATTATGTTATTGTGCTGTGGTGACTGTGTGAGGCTGCTCTGGTGGACTGAGGTTTGCCGTGGTGGCTGCTCTGTTTGAGCAGCAGGGGGCCACATACAACGTGGTCCACTGCCGATGAGTCCGTAGTCCTGAGCAGACTCTGAGGTGACACCACCCCTCGCAAGCATTGCACTTGACAGAGGTGGAGTTGTGGTGTAGTCGTCTCTGGCATACAGTAGGTGTAGCTTTCTGGCCCTGGGTTTGACTCGATGCCAGCCCTGAGTAGGAGAAAACGTAGCGAATGTAGCCCTATGGACGAACAACTTCTGAGATACTTCGCCGACCTAAACCGGGTTAGATCGCCGAAACAACAGCCCTTGGTCGGGTAAAACCCCCCCGAGTCATTCCGGTACGTAGAACCGGCTGTCGTGGGAATGTCTTTGTGTTGGTGTTACGTGTTACTGTTACTGTTACGTGAAGCAAAACTGGAATCGAGTTGACGATATCGCACAAACGATCAAACAATTTTTGATTTCTATGAAGCAAGACAATCTCGACACGATATCGTTCAGACGATTGTCGTCATACGTGATTCATGCCCAGAAAACAGTTTTCTCGCTCCTGTAAATGAGGTACGTTTTTAAACATCTTTTAAATATTATTAAGATTTTTGCTGGCTTATGAATAATTGCTTAATTTTACCTTTTTACGCGCCAAATAAATGTAGGTTTGCAATTCGCAAAAACATCGATGTTAGCAGCTCATATAAAAACATCGATGCATCGATGTCTCTCCTGCTCTAGTAAACAGACAAAACTTTGATTTTCAGACACAAAAACTGCTTTCGAAAGCCACTTGACATGCAAGGTGTAACTGCTCCTGCATCCTCTGTTGGAAATTCTTTAATTTGGCAGACCTTTGAAAACGACTTGCACTTGCCACGTCTAACAGCTACTTAACAGCTACTTATAATTTGCTGGTGCAGTCCGAGAATGTTGAAATCATTTCTCGAAAGCGATTCCAATAATTTGAGTTGCTATTACACTTTTAATTTTTTTTATAAAGGATCACACTTTTCTTAAATTTACTTTTATTATTCAATATTAACTAATTCTATAAAAAAAAAATATGTTGTACACCATCAACTGCTGCTTACAAAGCTATATGGTCACTTTTGTTTCGCTTATTACGTCTTTATTTACCACATGTACACGTTGGCAAAGGATGACACTTGACAAAAGAAAGGTGTTCTGTGCAAACCGTGTAGAGCCCCTCTTCTTTGGCAACACAGAAAAAAACATTCTACTGACAAAGGAGAATTATCTCTTTTATGTTTGCTTGATTTTTCAAAAGCGTTTGACTCAGTTGACCTTTCCCTGCTTTGCTCCAAGCTCGAATTTTATTTCGGTTTTGGTGAATCAGCTTCATGAAGAGCTACTTAAATTGCCGGTCTCAACGAGTGAAAATTGGGTCTGTAACCTCGCAGATTAAATCCTTGAAATGTGGTGCTCCCCAAGGATCTATCTTAGGTCCTTTGCTATTTAGTATCTTTGTAAATGACATTTTCTTAACGTGTAACTTTGCAACAATGCATGCGTATGCTGACGATATTCAGCTTTATTTATCTTGTTCCTTTGATGACATAGATACGGTTGCGGCTAATTTAAACAATGATATAGACTCTATCTCCCGCTGGACCACTCAAAACTGACTCTGCCTAAATCCAAAGAAATCATATGTTTTACCCGTGCATAAGAGAAAATTTAATTATGATAACATTCCAGCTCTCCGTTTAAACAATTGTTCTTAAAAGCTGGTCAGTAAAGTTACTAACTTGGGATTTGTCATCAACTCCTCTCTTAGCTGTATAGATCATACTAACTCTGTTGTAAACAAAGTTTATGGGACTCTTAGGTACCTCAGGCAATCTGCATCTTTCACTCCAGTTAGTACTAGGCATAAACTTGCCCTACAATTAATCTTACCGATAATTACATACTCTGAGTTGGTATATAGTATGCTTGACTCTAATTCTGCTCCCAAAATTGGCATTCAATTTAATTATGTTACCCGGTATGTGTATGGATTACAGAAATTTGACCATACATCTCAGACTACCTAAAAGCCAGGAACTGCATTTTCGTCTATAAACTTATACATATGAGAACCCCACGTTATCTGTATGACAAACTTATTTTTCCAAAGTCGGAACGTTCTTCTGACTTAATTCTGCCCTCATACAACTTTAAAAACCCTGCCAGACTGTTTTTCATTAACGCTATTCGTATTTGAAATTCTATTCCTCATGCCGTTAAAACCAAACTCAACAAAAGCAACTTTAAAAGTTCCCTCCATATATATTTCTCGTCTACATAGTTGATGAACCTTCTTAATATTTAAGTTTTTATCTAGTCCATAATTTTTAGTTTGTACATCTTTTGTTTTATTTCCTGCATTAATAGTATTAATATTACCTCTAAATCTGTTAAGTTACATATATTGCTGTTGTACTTCAAAAGACTAAGTGTTATTGTACTAATTTTAAATAAAGAATAAGGGTTATAAACCCTAAGCGGCCCTACTCTAGTTCCGCAACACGGAAAGGCTCAAGTTAGTGCCTTCATCTACTCGGAAACAAGCGAAAACGCAAGTAAAAATTGTGATTTTTGCTCATTTTTGTAAGGGCTCCCTGGGGCCTCGGCAGTTGGGAGTTACGTTTTTGAAAACTGCAGTTCATGGCTCCCTAAAATGGGGTGTGGGAAGTGCAACGCCCCCTCTCCTCCGCAGCACGCACACAACGATCAGCCATAAAGGAAAGTTTCTCCGGACTTTCAGGCTGTTTACACGGGAAAGTAGTTTCGATTTGGCATTTGGGCAGCAAAAGACTTGGAAAAAGTGCTTGGATTGCCATGTCTAACCGCACTTTAGCTTCTATCGATGCCTTAAATATTAAAACCAAAGATCAAATGCCTAACGTTCTGTAAACGAACGTAATCCTAAAACTAATAGAGGAATATTAATTAATTTAAAAAAATAATTATAGCGAATTTGTCAACAAACGATAAAATAATTATATTTCATTATTGGCAATGCGCCAAGTGACATGCGCACAAGTAGCATCTCGTTTTGGTGTTTGCTTAATAGGAATGAATCTTGCAACATTAAATTAAATGGGATAACATTTATTATTTTGATTTCAATGCAACCATTCTATACATAATTGTTTACAATATAAATATACATCCACTTACTTAAGTTGTGCTGAATCTGAGTATTGCGCCACAGATGCATTGCTCTTGCTTTCGCTAGGAACATTTTCGATAATTCTAGGTACCAGATCGCCCCCTGATGTTTCTAATGATCCACTCAATAAACCACTTTTACTTTTGATTTCTGCACAGATGCCAAAAGAAAAGCATTCATATATAGCAATTATAGATAACACGAGTATAGGAAGGCTTTGCACTTTTGAATGCACACGGGAACGATTGGATGCACTGTGATTGCTACGTCGAGATTGAAGTGCATCCGGGCAACATAATAAATGATGAAGCATTGATTTTTCACTTTTTTCAAGCAGCAGTATGGATGGCAACAAGAGCGTTGGGGCTAATGGAGCGCCTGAAGATGATAAACAACGTACCGATGACTGTTTATTTGTATCACTGGACGTGTCTTTTTGCAAACAATGTTTATTTCTAGTCCGTATCTGGCTTTTGTATGACTTTTTCCTTTCTAATTGCATTTTAGTTTTCGTATTTAATAAATAACTTTTTTGTTTAATTCACTATACCACTTTGCAACCAAAAACCCAGAGAAATATTGGCCGATGCACAACACTTAACGAACAATTTTCAACTGTCAAAGTTAATGGCTTTCCATTGCTTTTTTGCTATTTATGTCACTTTTCACACCGCATGGTTGCATTTTGGATAGTGCCGAAACAGAGGATTTGGATGGCGAATTGAGCCCTCTGTGATAATATGCCCTGCCAGACTACTAAAGACACAATTGACGGTATTCACACCATCTAAAGAATTTCCAATCGTGCAGATACCTTTTGGGTACGGTCGGTTACGGTTGACTTTAGTGTACATCGACAGGTGTGTGTTTTAGCAAAACTATAACGAATTTTCACCAGACACAGATATGTTTACATAAATTCTCCCTATTTTCACTTTTTTAATACTATATTTAAGTAATTTGTTATTTAAATTTTTTGCACTTCCATTAGCATATTCTCATATAAAAAGTGCTGCTATCACTTGTACTTGCATAAGTGCACGATCTTTTTAAAGTTCACGTATGATTTGTTTACAATAAATACATTCTATTTTATTTTTAACAATATTGTTACAATTATCCTCGAAACCTTGAGGGATTTCCCAAATACCTTCCGGCTCGTATCGCTGGATTGTTAAATAAATGCTAACAATGACCAAATTGTAGTACAATTAACTTTATTATACAACAAACAATTTACAATACTTGCTAATACAGTAGAAACACTTTACAATGCTTGTGAAAGCAATAACAACGCTTTACTAAACTTGTTAACACAATTAAACTTATAGCTTGCTTATTCGCAACTCACTTCTCTGCTCACTTTATGGGCTGTTTTTGCTTACGCGTAAAAGCACATTTAGCGCATTTAGCTCTAAATGCTACTCTAAATGTACATTTATCCATACAAAATTCGTCACCTAAATGCAACTAAATGCAACTCCATTTTTGCATTTAGAATCTAAATACTAAAACCAACCCTGTGATCTTCCAAAATTTCCACGATTCGAACATGGTTTAATGAGAAGAAGTGGCAACATTGCTTTTTCGAGTATACAGTCGCTAGCTGCGTTTCAGTGATCGCCGATCGAGATTTCATTTATTATTTTACATTATTTGGATAAAGAAAAGTTACGCAAATTAAACATCTATATGATGCTGATAGAAATCTGGATTAATTTGTGATCAACTCTGTTTGTTTTGTTTCCTAATTAAGTGTGGAAATTATAATTGACAGCACCGACAAATGAATATATACACAAACAAATGTTTGGTTATAGTTAAAATAATTCAAGTTTTTGTATTGAATTTTCGGTTTAGAATTTATTTTTTCCTTTTCAGTAGGGATTTTTGGACATTATCTTTTCCGTGAGAATTTATCGTAATAGATACGGATCTGAATAAGCGACTGGAACACGGCTGTTTGTACAAAAGCATACGATTTCGAACTCGCGTCAATGTACATTTGCTAAATGCGATAGCATGAACACTCTTCGAAAACATATGTTCGAAAGTGCTAAATGTTGCATTTTAAATGCAGCAAAAACGCTGCATTACTTGTAGCTTGCTGACTTGTATCTCGTAACTAACTCAACTCCGCTGTGTCGTTGCTCTTATATACCTGCGCTCGCACTTATGGCAACTCTAGAACGTTCTGAAGTTTATCGCTCATTCTCACGGTGCAGCGAACAAAGGTGGCGCCGTCAGTGGTACCGCTACTTTGGTTTTGCCGATTTTGACAGTCGTGGTAACTTGTAAATAAACCTTTGTTTACAAATCAGCGAAAGAGAAATATGAATTATTAGTGAAAAATCAGTTTAAATTGTGTCAATTTGCAATTTGTGAGTGATTTTTGAGTTGAGGACTGCGTAAAAACTAATACTATGAAGTGCTGTGTGTTAATTGCGACAGCCGTCAAGATGCAGGAAGCCTAGATGCAAGTGTAGCGCTGGGACGAGTCGCTGCATTTTGTGTACATAGGGCACGGCAAAGTTGTTCCCGAAATGTTTCTCTATTATTATTTTAAAAGCATTTCCTCACAATGATTTTGTTTCTGCTCCACGCAGCCTCCATTAGCAAGTTAACTAATAAATCCCGCAGAGATGCTGCTGCAGTTTTCTGTAGCAGCCTCAATTGCAAAGCAATGGAGTGCACTAAAACGTTTGCTGAAGCAGCCTCAATTGCAAAGCAATGGAGTGCACTAAAATGTTCACTGTTCTCTAATAGATTCGGTGATAAATGCAATATTTTTGCATTTAGCAAAATTAAAACACGTTCTTCGCTGTAAAGTAAACAGCTTTGGCAGTTTCAACTCGTTCTTCTTTTCGCTATATTCTTTGTTTACTTGTGGTACACAAATGTCAACGCCCAGGACGGCGCAATCTTGTATTCTATCATTCTTGGCTCATTCTCTTTCTCTCGCTGTTCGCAGTGTTCATCCAACTTGACGTTTCTCTTTGTGGAACCAAGGCGCATCCATACAAGGTGGTGTTGATTGCATATAAGTAAAAGTCCCGTGTATTTTGTTATTGCTTTTTGGTACAGGAGGATGTCAAAACGAAAGGGAATAGGAGATAATTTTCATCATTTTCTTTTGTTAACATCCTAAAGTTGCGCCGCTTCGTCTTGGATGACATTCTCCTGTGCTAGTGTAGAGACAAAAATATCCAATCAGCTGATCAATCAACACCACCTTGTATTGATGCGCCTTGTGTGGAACATTCTACGTCATTCGTCGAACATTCTGCCTATTTCTCGTAGTTCGCTACGCGTTGCCGCAGTATACGCCACAATATAAAACGCGTTTAACCATTTCACTACTTTTCTTCAACAAAGTAAAGAAGCAAACAAATGAAAATGGCTGTATTACCCAAGGCATATTCAAAAAGGTAGAAGTGACAATTCAGTTGAGCTCTCTCATAGCTGACTGTAATGTCAAAAAATGTAAACAAAGAAATTAACCCTTTGTTATGCATTTACCATATTTGATAAAACACAACGGCCCGCAGCTATAGTCAAAATAAAGTCGACTCCTAAAGTTAAAAGCAGCTTATTGACATAACTTTCAATGGGATATCTGTCAAAAGAAGCGGCTTTTATCTTAAGAGTCGACTTTATTTTGACTATAACTGCGGGCTAATATCTTTGAAATGAAAGTTTTTTTATACATGAAAATTTTTAAAATCTCATTAGAATCAGCTTAATTTTAGGTATTGCACTTTCGTTTTAATGTAAACGTGGAAATGCATACTTACACAAAATTACATACTAAGTGAAGCACACTTATTTATAAATCCATTTTGGCAATTTTCTTGCTTTTACTAGCCCAATATTTTTAAGCATTTACTTTTTTATTCAAATACTTAATTTTAAAGTATATTAGACATTTAAAAAAAGGTTTGATTATTCTAAATTTACATGAGAACTTAACTTCAATAATTAAGCTATTAATTTTTTGCAATTCGAAATTTCCTTTCCATTAAATTTATTAAAAATTAATTTCAGTTTCTTTATGTCAACAACGAATTCCGGTTTAGGTTTTATTAGACCACCATTTGAAGTTTGGTCTATCGATGTATGTATATGAGTGGCAGATTTTGTCTTCATATTCGGTATAATAATTCCTGCACCTGGGAACAAACGCGTCCGCTTAGAAATACCCGGCTGCGATGGGCAACAAATAAAGTCACTGGCACTAAAATGGTCTTCGCGCACACGAGAGAGTCTCCTAATGAAGCATTGATACTTCGGAGTTTTACAATAACGCACAAGTTTGTTGTCCTTGCTCACAAACACAACATACCGCCCGTAATTCCTTTTTATTTTATCATGTATTTAAAATCAGTCGCACAGCTCACAATTGAAAATTTATATTAAAAATAAATATAATTTTGAATAGTATAGGGTTAAGAGTTGACATTTTAGTCGCAGTTCAAAAGAGAGAAATGTCGAAATACAAGATCACGCCTTCTTCTTAGTAGCCCGTAATAATCGCATTTAGGAAAAAAATTGGACGACTTTGACATTAGCCGTTTATTAACATTTGTTCGTTGTTTAAAATTTGGTGGTGACTTTTTACTGCAATTTTCTTAATTTTCGCTTGTGACAACCTGTGCACACATAAGGTAAAGAATAATTTAACCCAACGGCATGATTTATAGAAGAATTTGCATAGTAAAAATGATTATTCATGCGTTCAACAATTACGCGTTTTTTTTTGTTCTCTTCGTTGTTTACTTCTTAAAGGCCTGTATGCAGCTCTCAAGAAACGCAAAAACTCCATATAAAATGACGTATAAGAAATGGCTAAGAAATTTTCTTGAGTCAAATTTCCTTAAGGCAGTACGCAGTTCTTCAGAAATTTACTAGGCTTTCTACTACGGTTATCTTAAGTTTTTTGTGAAAAAAGAGCACAAGGCAACCCTGGTTTGCAACAGAAATATATGACCGTTCTATTATTTCTTGAGGAAAGAGTGAGGTAACAGGCTGTGAAGTACCAAAAATGTCAAAATTCCTTGGACACACACGCGAAATAATGGCAATTTTTTCTTGACCGTTTTCTTGAGAGCTGCATACAGGGCTTAAGGCCAGTATGCAGCTCTCAAAAAAAGCAAGAACTCCATATAAAATAACGTACAAGAAATGGCTAAAGGCCTGTATGCACCTCTCAAGAAAAGCAAAAACTCCATATAAAATTACGTACAAGAAATGGCAAAGAAATTTTCTTGAGTCAAATTTCCTTTAAGGCCTGTATGCAGCTCTTAAGAAAGCAAAAACTCGATATAAAATGACGTACAAGAAATGGCTAAGACATTTTCTTGAGCCAAATTTCCTTACGGCAGTACGCAGTTCTTAAGAAATTTACTACGCTTTCTATTACGGTTTTCTAAAGTTTTTTTGTGAAAAAGAGCACAAGGCAACCCAGGTTTGCAACAGAAATATATGCCCCTTCCATTATTTCTTGAGGAAAGAGTGAGGCAACAGGCTGTGAAGTATCAAAAATGTGAAAATTCCTTGGACACACACGCGAAATAATGGCATTTTTTTCTTGACCGTTTTCTTGAGAGCTGCATACAGGACTTAAGGCCAGT